CCATCACTAGCAGCACTAACCATAGCAGGTCTACATCAGTTTGCAACAACTTTGCCATCTGCAGCTCTTTCTGCAGCCAAAGGCTCAGATGGAGGAAATAAATGCACCTCCTCCACATCCTTTGTAAGTCAGATGATTAACGAGGGGAGTGATCCACAACAGTTATTGTCAGAGACCATTTCGCAGCCAGTTACATCTCACATCCAGTCTTTATTGATGATTTGTTTCAGGAAGAAACATATTAAAAGGGAAAGTGTAAACTCAAAGATATTTGACAGGATTTTTTATAATGTTTTGGAAAGAGACCCTGATAATGGAAATGTGCAGTTGTGTAACTCGGAAAACGTGAAGCCTTTAGAAAGGTTATTTTAAAATATAGTGACACAAAAGGTAACTGGCAGTACCGCATGCCAGTATCAACACAGGCCGCACTGTATTTCACTTTACAGCTACAGTAAAGGATAATCCTATATGAGGAGTTTGAGAAACACTTTTCTAAAAGGACATTGTTGTCTCACACATAAAACTCTCAAGCGTATATATGATGACCTAACAGGGCGACTTGGCGGCAGAACTTTAGCGTGCATCTGGGAAAGGGGAGGAATTCGACCCCTGACACGGTCCCAAAAAAATGTTCCTGCATTTATTCTTTGGTTGATAGTTTAATGTTCTTTTCCCAAAGACATGCAGCTTCTATTTGTTTTTTGCTTGAAGCTGAAGAATGAGGAGGCTGTTTTATCACCACCATTAGCAGTACAAGAGGGAAAAAATACAATCTAGCCTGCAGTAAGGACCAGTAGACAGCAGGGGAAAAGAGAACAGAAGAGACTTGTGTCATCATACATACAGTATATTATTATTTTTTAATTAGTTTTAAGATGGGCAGGCACAAGCAGGAAGATGGACTAACATCCAGACAGATTAGATCAAACCTATTCTTTGAAACTGCACAGTGGCTGAGAGCCACAACTGACATCTGAATTTTAGTATTAGTATATGGTCAAACTGTTTAGACAGTGTCAACAGTAAAGAACTATAACTATTAAAACATCTACAGCTTTACTGCAGGTTTACAGGAAAAGAGAGGTTTGAAAATTTATATCAGCTTAAGGAATTCACAGTGAAGAACTGCAATAAAAAACATTCAACCAGGGACTTTTGTAATGGCGCTGAAGCTGAAGCAACCTACTACACATCGATTACCACTAAAAACAACAACAAAACCAAACACTGCAGTGACCAGTTGAAAACAAACCTGTGGTACATGCACATAACTAGAACCTTGACTACAAACAGATCAATATAACCCACAACCTAAGATTAAGAGTAATGGATTCCTCTTGGAGCTGAGCATCTCAAGTCAAGCCATAGCTAAGGACAACTAATCACTGTTTAAACAGAACAGAAAAAGAAACAAGGAAAACACAAAAACTGTGGTACTTGTGCATTTTAGGTAGAAATTTTGCTTTTTATTTTAGTGTTCAATAATTAAACCCTGATCTGCATTGGTGTGTAAGAGCCTTTGTGAGCTCTTTTTGAGTCTGGGGGAGGGAAGAGTCACATTGACAACATTGGAAAATTCCTATTGATTATTCTTCTTTTCTCTGAGCACTGCCTTGTTAAAAAAGACCCCTTTTGGAAACATGATCAATTAGTCAGATAGTGTTTGCCACTGATCACCCTCCTCCACCTCACAAGGCTGCTGCCTTACGATGGATCCTTCCACGCACTCCTCATGACCAACTATTGATCTCAGCTTCTTAGCCAAATATAAAAGCACGCCCTCACAATGAGAGCTGACCTCTCTCATCCAAACCACGCAGTCTAATACTAATAGTGACATCTGCTTGTCTCTATTGTAAAGCCATGGTCCACTCATAAATACAGAGGCCAGCTTTGGCCCAGAAGCAATATAGCTTCTCAAAGTTCAGAGGTCAGAAGGGCAATAATGCTGCTATTAACATTTCCTCCTGAGCTAATACTGAGAATTTAGTGTAGAGGCACTTTACACAGTGAAAGCAATAAAGACAGGTGAAAATAACACTTTTATATATGTTCTTCTTAACTGATCTGTTGATTGACAGAGTTTTAGGGATTAAAACCCACAGGAGTGAAACCGAGAATAGCAACAATTCTCAGTTATGAGGAGCTGGAACCAGGCACTGTTTGGGTTTTTTCTTTGATAACTTACGTAAAAAATTTATTTCTTATTAGATTTTTTTTTTTGCCAATAAAATTCTGTCAGTTAACTAAACAATTGATCCACTATTGTTTTAGCACTAACTGTACAAAACTGCCACAGAATATAAAAATATCATGGGCAAATAGAATATTTCATTTAAAATAAAAAAAGAAATTAGAAAAGTTGTAAAACCATTGACTGCTTGAGTTAGCAGAGTTAGAAAAAATTTAAAGTGATAAGCCCAGATGAACTGATTAACCATCTAACCAATCAGTCAACGAGTGAGTCTATGATTCAAAGATAAGTGACCTTCTCAGACAGAGACGTCACATCACAACATTAGTTTAACACTTCTCCAGTGTTAAGATTGGACAATTGTAAAACTGTTAGACACAGCAGGCAGTCGGGCATTAGACAATTCTCTCCCATAGGCAATTCAAGAGTCATCTCTTTGACTGCCCTTGCCCTCTCTATCCCTCAGTCCCCTCACCCTCTATCCCATCACCCCTCCCTATGGATCAGCTGTGATCTCCTCTCTCTCTCCTTTCACTCAAATCAGGATTAGGGAGAAGGGGAGGAGAGGGTTCAGTAGCAGCAGGAGAAGGGGGAGAGAAAACTGAAACAATATGGAAAAGAGATTAGAAAAGAGGGGGTTTGAGCTGTTTGGGGAATTGCAAACTCCCTTGTGCTTGGGTAGGTGTCCTAATGACACCATCTAATTATGGCAAAATTAGACAGGCTAAAGGGGGGGTTGGCTAGGGTGGAGAAGATGCTAACATTAAAAAAAAAGAACTGGAGCATGGGAATTAAGCAATAGGAAGTAAAGAAGTAAGTGAACAGTGAAAAGAGCAAGAGGGGTGTTGTGCAGAAGTACAGATACAAGCTGAGGCCGGGTGAAAGGGAGCATGGGACTGAGAGCAGGAGGAAAAGGGTAGAAAGCAGTGGCTGGGTGAAAGGAGCGAGTGGGCCCCAGCACACTGCATGTTAATTGGAGAACAGGTGTTGGGGCTGGGAGCAGGAGGCTGATTACTAGAGCCACAGAAACAGACCGTCTCCTTTATACATACCCACACACACAACTGCACACACAGACACACACATGCACAAATGTACATAGGCTACACACACACACACACACACACACACACACACACACACACACATGAATAATTTAAGATGCAAGCAGTGACTAGGGAAAAAGGTCAGAGTAGGGGTCACAGAGACATATAGACAATTGCACATACATCCATATACACACATAAATAAACATCCAAGGATCCTCATACACACACAAGAAAATATACAGCCGTTAGTGTGTACACAGACAGTGAATACATGATCAGACCAAACACATATATCTTGCCCCATCAATGTCTCTGCTCTGTTTGACAGTGTGTGGTGTACATATGTGCAGTGTACATATGTGCAGTGTACATACGGTGCGATAAAAGGGCACAAGCCAGTGCAAAATTCCATTCACTTATCAGAAATTAGCTAGCTGCTAATAGACTGTTCCCTGAGGAGAGGATTTTGCAGGCCAGTCAAGAGTAAGAAGTCCCCATCAGGATGGGATATGCCCAGAGTGATTAGAGAGTACAGTAGGTCAATGATCCAATTTAAATCAATCCTCACAGCTGCACACCAGCCAGCGCACCCACGCACACACATACGAGGAGTCACAAAGACATATAAATCACTCATTCCTCACTATCATGCCGCCAAGTAGAAAAAGGGTGCGGGGTCCGTTATTGGGAGAATAATGTGCTTCAGTAAATGAGGAAAGCAGCTGCTCAAAGGTATTCTGGGAAAATTCTAAAGACAACAGCCCTATTTTTCCATTATATGAAAACTATCTTCAGCAGAGATCCTTGGAGACTCACTGTCAACAGCCAGCCAGCTTGAACTGAAGAGGGGAAAGAAAAGGGTCCTTGACATATATGAAGTGAGTGTTATCTAGACAGACAGTTGTAAAGAAGGAAAGAAGGAAGGAGAGAGGAGGGATTGAGGGAGGGAGAGGAGGTGAAGGTTACATCCATGACATCACAGAGAAAGTATTTTACGTGCAGTATGCTTATAAGCATTCATCACACTGGTTAATGCCAGGCAGACAGTGCGAGACCGCCAAAATCCCTCGGACGTGAAGGCCCTCACACACGCTGATTACGGCGGTGGTCAACCCCCTTGAAGCCTGATAACTGGCTGTCAGTGTGAACATTTACTACATGTGTGAGCCTGTGTGGTGGTATGAGAGATCCATATGCTTCTGATAAAAAGAAACCTACGCTTTTGACAGGTTTCAGGTGCAGTGTCAGCTGCTAAGCATAACGAGTGACCGAACTGAAACAGATCCCAGCAGGCTGAAGTTAGGTCAACAGACAAACAGAAAGCTGAAGAGAGAGAAACACACTGGAGGCAGATGTGGACATATACTCTGTATGTTACAGCCCTCTTTCTTAAATCCATTGTAAACTAACAAGGCCAAAATGTTCACTGCTGTCAACACTCACCTCTTTCTTGTAAATATCTATGTTTATATGTGAGTGAAATGGACACACAAACATATTCATTAGAATATACATTCCAGCCAGGACTTCTTCTCTGCTATGTAGGCACGTTTCTGTCTATTGTCATTATTGTTACTGAGATCGCAGCACAAGAACCTTCACATCAAACCATGATCTCTCTCTGTCACTGTGTGTGTAGAGTCTGAGTATGTGCATATATGCAAAGGGCAGAAAGGGTAACTTGAACATTTAGCATGAAAAGGTGCTTGTTTGAGGTGGTGGACACTGTTTGGGACACAGTTTGATCTCATTACCTGTCTATGATGACTGGGTCAGAGGGCGTCTCGTTTCGGTTGCCACAACTTTTCTTCTCGCAGCAGCGGCTGAGTGGACCGTTAAGGAGACAGAAAGGAGGAAAGAGTCAGTGCTGGGAAAACAAATTAAACCGGAGGAGCCATCATTTGTCTGGCTCATCCGCATCCACAGGCCCAGACTACTCTGCCCTGCAATCGGCCAAGATCCAGGAGCACACAAAGGAGGCATGAGAGGGGAGGAGAAGAATAGACAAAAGAATAAAAGAGAGGAAGAAAAGGTACAACAACACACCCTACAAACAGTGAGAGACCATTCAGAAGTGAAAAGCCAGCCAGGCAATCTGTCACATTGATTTCGAAATCAAACTCAACCCCCACGCAGCC